GTAGTGTGAGGGGTGGCGGAGGGACAAGGCCTGAGTGGGGGTGTCCCCTCCTCATCCACACTGTCCTCAGGTCTCTGTCCTGATGAATCCATTCATTCCCCAGGGTGCTTGTCCTGTGCCCAGCCGTGCACAGGGTCACTGCGAAGAGCTGGCCCTGGCCCTGTCCTCAGAGTCCAGGTGAGACACAGACGTCTCCAGACAGGGTCAGCCCAGAGCGGTCTGCTGGGATCGGGGAGCCCAGGGCGTGTTCCCAGCCTGCTTTGCCACAAGGGATGCTCAGCTGATCCACTTGTGGCCAGCAAAACACAAAGGGAAGTCTGCTGGGAAGTGTCCCCCACTGCCACCGTGTGACAGCCCGGGACAGAATGGGGTGGAGAGTCAGGGGGACTTCCGAGGGGCCGTGGGAGGGAAGGGCTGCAGTACTCCCGCAGCCCCGGGGCAGCCGTGTGAGGGGCAGGTTGCAGGGACAGGGGCTGGGAGACGAGATTCTCGGGGTGCAGAGTAAATGGGGCTTTGTGGTGGAGGGGCCTGTGAGGTTGGAGACCACGTGGTCCCCTGTCCGTCCCGGGCTCACCTTCTCGCTCTCCGTGCAGATCTGGATGGCGTTGGGGATCAGCTTGGCTGTCTTCTCCAGTAGAGACGGGGGTCTCGCTCTTGCTCAGGCTGGTCTCGAACTCCTGAGCTCAAACAATCAGCCCGCCTCGGCCTTCCAGAGAGCTAGGATTACAGGCGTGAGCCACTGCACCTGGCCCCCCTGGAGTTTTTGTCCCGTGAGCTCCTAAGCCCCCTCTCACTTAAGCCGGGGTGAGGTCTACCACGTTGTGTAACTGAGGCGAGTGAATCGGGCCCACCTGCCTCACCTTCCTCCCCGGTAGACGAAGAGGAGTTACTCGTGTCCGTCAACAGCTCCTCACTGGGCAGGAGGTCCAAGGGGCCCAGGGAGGCGGGCCCATTGGGCGGCGTGGGCTCTGTGCTGGGGGGTTCGGCCACTGGCGTCACCGTCTGGCTGGAGGAGGCATCGGGCTGGCTGTCCATCTGCTCCTCCTTGTCCTCCTCTGCCTGCAGAGAGGGCTCTGTCAGCCTCGCCCCACCTGCACCCCAGCCTGGGGGGCCACAGGGATTCCAGAGCCTGTCCAGAGCTCAGACAGGAAACCAATGCTGGGGAGGTAGCGTGGACCCAGGCTCACAGCCTGGAGCCACCCAGACAAGCCGTGTCCCGGATGCCTGGGCCGTAAGCTTTCTTAAATGTCCTGCCCATCTGCCTCTCCCGCCTCATCCATCCACCCCGCCCCCTTCCATTTCTCACCCTTCTACTTGTTTGTCCCCTTTTTCCTGTCTCTCCTTCCCATCTGTGCCTATTTTCCTTGCGTATCTTCCCATCTCCGTCCCGCCCTGTCCCTCTGTCCATCCCCCCAATCTGTCAGGCTGTCCCTCTCCCCCACTCCACCCCAGCCTTCCTCTGTCTCTTCCCACCGGCACCCCGCTCTCTCCCCCTGCCCCCTGCTCACCCCGTGGTCGGCGTCGCTGCTGCCTCGGGAAAGGTTGGGGGTGATGCGGCCACGGCGAGAACCCACGGGGCTTGGCTCCTGGCTGTGGTCAGCTGCCCCCGAGGGGGTGATGTCGCTCAGCGCAATCACATCGCCCACCTCCTTGGGGGGCCTGCGGGGAAACAGAGGAAGTGGGACTGCTGCAGCCTGCAGACCCCCCACGCCCTCCTGGATCGCTCGGACGTCTACACCCACCCAGCACTCCAGGGACTCCAGGCGCTCTGCACGCGGCCCCGTCTGTTCCTCCCCCACCCTCCCCCGACCTGGGAACCACCCCCAACCTCGGACTCACCCCAGACCGTTCAGCTGCAAGGGGCAGACATAGTCCTCGTCCTCGCTGGTGAGGCCCAGCTCCGAGCCGTAGCACTGGTGCACCAGGTGCCAGAGCTCACGGGGACTCAGCGTCTGGGCAGGCGGGACCTGGGGCTGGCCTCCACCTCCCCACAGCGGAGCCCGCTGCCCGGTTCCCCACCAGCCCCAGCCTCGGCAGTTCCCCTGGCTTCCACACGGGGGCAGCCACGATCTCCCGCGCAAGGCCGCGGCCCCAAGGCGCTAGGGACCCGGGCGAGGGCCCTGTGCCCAGGACTTTATACCTCACACCTCCCCAGTCCCCGCGAGAGTCTGGCCAGTTGATGCCGATTTCCCATTCCTGTGCTGTCCTGCCCTTCCCCACCCCATGACGTTCCCAAGTGTCCTTGGGAGCTGTGGGCTTGCAGCCCCCATGGCCAGAGTGGCTGGATGAGGGTGACGACGAAATCGTGGTAACAGCAGCAGCAGCAGCAATCGACTGAGTCGTTACTGGGTGCCAGGCATCCTTCTAACCCTTTGCATGGGAGAGCTCACCGAGTCTCCAAAACAGTTCTGGACACTGGGTGCTAATATCATTTTGAGACAATGTTGCTGAGAGACACAGTCCCGTGCCCGAGGCCATCCAGCTAGGAGGTGGCAGGGCTGAGGTGTGATCCCAGGGGAGCTGGGCTGGAACCTTGGAGCCAACCACTGGGCTTTTCTGCCTCCTAAGAGCTGACATGACTGGGTTCTTATTCTGGGCCCAGCGCTGGGTGCTATCAAGTAGGGACGGTCCCCACTTGACAGATGGGGTTCATGACTCGCCCCAGGTCACTCATGATGGCGCTAAAACTACAGGGCCCGAGTGTTGAGCCCTCCTAGGAGCCTTTGACCCCACACTGTCCCTCTCTTGGGCTTCTGAATGGAACCCTCCGGCACTCTTGCCATGGCTGGAGCTGCCCCGAGGGGACGAGAGCCTCCTGGAGGCCAGGACTGACTGCGGCTGGGCTGGACGAGCGGGTCTGGGCTCTGTGCGGTGCTCGGGGCGGCAGCAGCAGACACCGTGCCAGCAGAGCCCGATTTTGTTCAGGGTAAAGATCTTCCCCAGCCCCAGGGACAAGTGAGGACTGGTTTACACCTATTCTCTGTTCCGCTGCCCGAGCCGCAGCTTCAGGGTCAGACCGGTGGATGTCCCAGTGGGGCCCATGGAGATGCCGTGGAGCAGGGCCTGTGGCTCCCTGAGTTCCGGAATCCTGGCTCTGGGGCCCCCCAGTGCACCCCAAGCCCCCACCCAGCCCCCACGGAGCCCCCACCCAGGCCCACCTTTTCAAGCAGCGCGTTCTGCCAGAGGCGGAAGATGAGGAGGAAGCAGCGGTCGCGGGCCCCGAAGGAAGTGAAGAAATGCTGTAGGGGAGGGGAGTAGTGTGAGGGGTGGCGGAGGGACAAGGCCTGAGTGGGGGTGTCCCCTCCTCATCCACACTGTCCTCAGGTCTCTGTCCTGATGAATCCATTCATTCCCCAGGGTGCTTGTCCTGTGCCCAGCCGTGCACAGGGTCACTGCGAAGAGCTGGCCCTGGCCCTGTCCTCAGAGTCCAGGTGAGACACAGACGTCTCCAGACAGGGTCAGCCCAGAGCGGTCTGCTGGGATCGGGGAGCCCAGGGCGTGTTCCCAGCCTGCTTTGCCACAAGGGATGCTCAGCTGATCCACTTGTGGCCAGCAAAACACAAAGGGAAGTCTGCTGGGAAGTGTCCCCCACTGCCACCGTGTGACAGCCCGGGACAGAATGGGGTGGAGAGTCAGGGGGACTTCCGAGGGGCCGTGGGAGGGAAGGGCTGCAGTACTCCCGCAGCCCCGGGGCAGCCGTGTGAGGGGCAGGTTGCAGGGACAGGGGCTGGGAGACGAGATTCTCGGGGTGCAGAGTAAATGGGGCTTTGTGGTGGAGGGGCCTGTGAGGTTGGAGACCACGTGGTCCCCTGTCCGTCCCGGGCTCACCTTCTCGCTCTCCGTGCAGATCTGGATGGCGTTGGGGATCAGCTTGGCTGTCTTCTCCTTCTTCAGACACGTCACTTCCTTCAGCTGGATGGAAATCTGGGAACGAAAGGAGGGTCAGAAGGGGCCGGGCCCTGCCCGCCCGGCCCGCCGCACCCGCCGCCGGCTCACCGTTGTCTCCCAGCGGAAGATGTTGCTGTAGAAGCAGATCCAGTTCTCAGAGAGATAGAGGCGGCCCTGCAGGAGGATCTCGCGCTGCAGGGCACAGGAGTAATCTGAGAGTGGCCGGGGGAGAGACGGCAGACACCTGAGTCACAGGGCTGTGCGGCAGCCGCGGGCCGGCGGGGAGTCAGGGGGCAGAGCTGGGAACTCAGGCCAGGGGCCAGGACTCACCCACGATGAGGCGTTCGGCTTCGGGGAGTTTGCTGAACAGTTTCCGGAAGTCCTCATTACGCTGTTTGTAAGTGGGGCTCAGCATCTGGAGGGATGTGGGAGGTGGGGACCTGGACGAGGACAGCTCTGCCCTGCGAAACTCTTGAAGCTCCCTCAGTATCTAGCCTGCTTTTGGTTTCCACTGCCCCTAACACGACAGTAACCACAGTGACAGCTGCTGTTTACTGATTTCTTGTATAAGCCAAACCCTGCGCCAAGGACCCGCCAGCATTGCTGGCTTATTGAGTGTTCCCTTCAGCCTTGTCAGGTGGAGCTATTTCTTGAAGAGAGCTAGAAAGGCTCAGAGAGGTTAAGTGACTCACCCAAGGTCACACAGCACAGAAACAGCGGCATAGGCTGTGACCCCCAAGTCAGCTAATCTCAGCACCCACTCCTGGACTGTCACAGCCTGGGGCTCCCGGCCTGCACCTGGCCCCTCCCTCCCTTCCACCCCTCTAGCAAGCCCCCTTGCCCCAGACACTTACGCTGTACCAGCTCTGCATCTTCTGCAAGAGAAAAGAGGAGTCGAGATGAGCCCCTGGACACTGCCCCCCCACTGCCCTCCCACCCCTCTCCACACTCCCCCGGGGCTGGCACCAACCTTGCTGTTGCGGATGAAATTGCGGCTGCCCAGGCTCTGGGTGCTGGGGGTTCCGGGCACCCCACCCTTCTCCGAGGAGCTATCTGACCCCTTCTCCACCATGGTGCCTGGTTCCGGCTCAGGGGGAGGCCGGCTTGGGGGCAAGAGCTGCAGCCGCTTACGGAGAGATGGGGAGCTGCTGGGCGTGCTCCGGCCAGAGTGGGGGGTGGTGCTGGGGGCGGGAAGAGGAAGAGGGGCGTTTAGGGGGAGAAAAGGCTGGGGTGTGTGGACGGGCCTATTTTTGGAGACCCGCCCACCAGCTCATTGATCCCCACCCACCCGCCTGTGCATCCATCCCCCATCCACGGATCCACCCGCCATCCCGCCAACCTACTCCACTTCCCATTCGTGTGACTCAGAGCAGGTTTCCCGATGTTTGTGCCTCGGTTACTTAGCCGTAATCCAGGAATGACTAATGCACATTCTCATCTGGCTGCTTTGAGACTTTAGTTAACACACGTGAAGTATTTCTAGCAGAGCCTGGCACACAGCAAGCTTTCAATAACACCTGCTATTTTTTGTTAATTTATTACTTTATTCATACAACAAATATTTATTGAAGTGACTTTCTATTCAATGGCTTGAGCTAAAAACCCAAACATCTTGATTTCTTTTTTTATTCCTCACCTCCCATTTCTAATCTGTCAGCAAGTCCCTGCAGCTCCACGTCCAAAACCTTTTTCCATTATTTCTGTTCTACCCACTTCTCCCTGCACCGGCCTCCTTCCTCTCCCATCTGGACACCCCCGCGGCCTCCTCCCTGGTCCCCTGCTCAGTCCCTGCTCCGAAGGTCTGGTCCCCACCTGCAGCCAGAGGGAGCCTGGGAACACCTGGGTCAGGTCAGGGCCCTCCTGGCTCAGAGCCCTGCCCTGGCTGCATCTGGCTCCAGGTAACAGCAAAGTCCTCACTTTGGGGCCCACGACCATAGCAATCTGGCCCTGTCACCTCCCTGTCCTCCTGCCACTCTGGCCACCCCAGCCTCCTTCTGTCCCTGAAGTGCTCCGACTTCATTCTGGTTCCTCCCCCTGGACAGTCCTTCCCCAGCCCCGGCATCCTCAGCTCCGTCCCTTCAGCTCAAGCGCCCCCGATCCTGGCCACCCAGCCAGGGTAGGCCCCTCCCTCGCCACAGCCACGAGATCTTCGCTCACCCTGCTCATTGACTTAGTTTGCTTATTGTCTGCCCAGACTGAACTCGGGGAGGTCTTGGTTGCCACTGTGTCCCCGCACCCCAAACTGTACGTGGCACATAGCGAATGCCCAATAAACATCGGTGACGACGCGAAGAATCCGTGCGCCGGCTGGAGCTGGCACGAGCAGGGACCATCGGTCGGGGTGGCTGCTGCCCTTGGCGAATTAACCTCCCAGTTGGGAGGCAGACACTGAGCAAACAGCCTCGGCCTCGGCTGTACAAATACCAACTGTCACAAGGGCTGTAGGGTGAGTATCGGAAACTTTGAAGGGACGTTCATTGTTGACTTCTTATCAGGAACTATGTCAAGCTCTCGTGTGACTGATTTTACTACTCCTCAAACAGCCTGTGCATCCGGTTCTATGACTGACCCTGCTTACAGAGGAGGAAACAGGCTCCAGGCAGCAAACCACGTGCTGGCGGACATGTGTCTGGTTTATTCAGGGCAGGCTCCAACCTGGGAGCCGTCGACTGTTCCAGGGTGGAGGTGGGATTCCCTCCACCACCGGGAGAAACTCACTCTTGTCTCTCTGGCCTCCACGCCTAGTCCCCTCTGTCTAGACCACCGTTTCTCTTCTTCGCGCAGCAAATCCTTCGAGGCTCTTGCTCAGATACGTCTTCCCCTCTGCGGGTCCCCACAACCCGCCGGGGAGCTCCCGCCCCAGCCCTGACTACTCTGGGCTGTCACTGTCCGATGGCAGGTCCATCCCCTCACAGGTCCGTAAGCTCCCTGAAGGCAAGCTTTGGGGTTGTCTTGGTCACTTCTCTGTCCCCAGGACAGAGCACAGGGAAGGCATTCATGCAATACTTATAAAATGAATTTGTGGAGTAAAACAAATGAATAAGTAAATTAAATACATGTTGGCTGGGGACACTGCCATTCCCCCTGGGCCATCCCACCTCCTCGTCCCTGGTCTCCTGCTCTGTCCCTGCCCCCCTAGTTTGCTCCCCACCCACAGCCAGAGGGAGCCTGGGAACCAGTGAGTCCAGTCAGGGCCCTCCTGGCCGCACCTCCCTCTAGTAAAAGCACAGGCTGGTCCCCCTCGACCCTCATCAGCCCCCACTGCCTCTCCTCTGGCTCTCACCTTGGCTGTTCCCTCTGCCCAAAACGCTCTTCCTCCTAGATGTCCAAGGGGCTCCCTCGCCTCCCCGAGGTCTCTGCTCAATGGACATGTTTCAAAGCCACCCTCCCCACCTCCTTAGTGAACATCACCCCACTGCTCTCTTGATCTCTCTTCTGTATCTCCCCGCAGTTCTTACCCTTCTCCCCCACAGGACGTGAGTGTCCTGAACGCCTAGAACGGGCCGGGCACATGGCAGGTGCTCCACGAGCCCTGGCTGCTGTGGGCTGAGCGCACGATCCCTCGGCCCTCCTGTCCGGCCCCCATGGAACCGGGATTCCACCAGGTGTGCGACTTTCGGGACTTGCAGGTCTCCAGGGCAGCAGCCTGGAGCAGGGGCCCCACAGTCCAAGGGGCTTCTGGTCAAGTGTTGCCACTTCCTCCTTGTGCGACCTTGAGCCAGGGTCTGACCTTCTTGTGCCTCCGTTCCCTCTCGTGTGTAACGGGAATAATAACCGTGCCCACCCTCAGGGCTGCTGGGAGGAGACAGTGAGGCAGGACACACAAAGCCGAGCACGCAGATGGCACTCTGGCTGGCCCACGTCCTCTTCCCGCCCGCAGGGACCGGCAGACCGAAGCAGAGTGTACGGCCCTGCAGCGCCCCAGCGCGCCGCAGTCCCAGCGGCTCTGCTGGCCCTGACACGTCCCTCACGAGCACCTGAGCCTCCACGGACTGAGCCCAAACTCCGGTCATTCACTCTAAATACCCTGCACCTGGCACTGGGGACACCGAAGTGAGCAAAACAGACACGGTGCCCTGCCTGCAGGGACCTGCCGCTCTAGCTGGGAACACAGACAGCCAGAAGGAAAACGTGTGGACGAGGGTGGTGGGCGACCTCGGCCGCTGCCAGTGCTGTGAACTTGCTCGGCGTACGGTCCCCACGCCTGTAGCACCCGCAGCACTCGGAAGTCGTCTGAAATGCGATTCCAGGACCCACTCCCGACCTCCTGAACCAGAACTGGGGTGGGGCCCAGGAGATTCTGATGCACGCTCAAGCTCGAGGACCACAGAGATAAAGGGAGGGACAGCTGGAGCAGAGATGGCTTCTTTAGTGAGAGTCAGCGGACAGTCCTAGGTGCGGGAACATCAAGTGCTGGGAAGCGACTGAGCTTGGCAGGCCTGTGGAGGAGTGGGGTGGCCAGTGGGGCTGGGGGGGCCCGTGCCGCAGCCTGGGGGCAGTGGTCAGGACTTTGGGCTTCGCCCCAGGGGTGCAGGTGAGCAGCGAAGGAGTCTGAAGTAGGGACCACACCCCCACCCCCCACTATCTTCTCACACCTGTAGCCTGAAACACAGACCTGCAATACGCTCCTGCAGCCGC